ACATCTAACTGGAACAACAATAGACTGTTAGGAATAAAGATAATTTTAAACAATATCATGCCAGCGGTTTATATTTAGGTATTATTTCATGTGTTGTTGTTCTAGTGAGATGTAAGCACTTATTCCTAACAGTCTACACTTCTAGTTTTATAACTGATAACAATTTCAGTGCGTTTTCCTTTAGTAACTAAACATTCTAAAGATGACGTAATTTTTTTTTTAGTTATGGGTCAATTGAAGTTAAGTAAATTAGAAATAAAACTTTTAGTTAATAAAATGAAAGTCATGTATATTTAATATATACAAGTGTTGAAACAAGTGGTGTTTTAGTTTGATAAAACTCTACTTGTTACACGCTGTTCTGAACCTGTACAGCACGAGAACATCAGAACACATAATCAACTAAAGTTTGGCATATACTGTTAAGTCTGCTCTCGTATGATGTTCGTTTTTGATGAATTTCGACAAGTTAAGTGTTGGAATAATTTCAGTATACTCATATCTGTATTTTAAAGTCTAATTATACAAATATCTATTTAAGGTTAATAAATAATTAAGTTTCAAGTCAGTACTTTTACTAACCTGCAATGTTATTTCTGTTTTTCGTCTTACTCATTATTCTGATTTGCAAGTCATCCATAACTATTCCCAGCGATGACTGACAACGTGGATTTTTTATATCTCAAAGAAATGTTATTCAAGGAAGAAAAACAAGCTCTGATAGTTTAGGAAGAAACCAGTCAAAACTTTCTTTACGTCACAAACTTTTGGTTTTAAGACAAAGCGGATGAGACTTTACTCAAATAACTCGGCTTCTACAAATCACAGATAGGAAATACATAAGTTGCTCAAGGTCTTGCTTTTGAAGCGCCTCAAGTGGCAGTGGTATAAGTTAATAAATTGGAAGTCTTATAAAAACAAACTCAGATTTCTGAAACGTAAATAATTGAAACAAATATATAGGCCTAAATAACTAGAATATCTTCATTGATCAAGAGTAAGGTAGCATTGCTGTGCAAATTATAGTAGTAGAACCATGGAAACAACAATATGATATGCTAAAATCGCGCATGCAGCATTATCAACTTACGTGTAACATAACGTTATTGTTCGAAGTGTAATCCATTCAAAACGTTAAATCTGAAAAGGTATACATTCAAAGATTTGGTGACCAGCAGTTTAAAAGGAGAAAGTTCGAAATTTAAATCTTCAACACTGAAAAGAAAATAGATAACATTGTCCTTTAAAAACAGAATTTTGGTTAATGAACTTAACTTGTGGCAGTAGACTTTGCACATATTGAGTACTTTACATAAGAAATTTGATTCTTTACGTTAGTGTTGTGCAGTTAGCCTAAAAGTTGACACCGTGCCCAAGCTTATAAATGCGTTAAAGAAGTAAAACAAAAAACCTAAACTGGATATTATGTAAAAAAACAAAAACGGAAGAACAACGGTACAACAGTACATTAGATCAAGAGGAGAGAATTTAAGTACATGTGTAATGGAACATGGAAATGCTCCATTACGTGTCTACCAACATAATGTTACGACAGCGGAAGTCACATGAAGCTGCTGGCGCATTGGCGCTGGTGGCGTGTGCGAGGAGTTTCCTAGTGCATTCGAGACGCTCTCTTCTTTAGTATATAAGCCTGGCAGAGAAGCCAGGAATATAGAGATAATTAAAGAAGCGAACAGTAGTGACGAAAAGTAAAGTGTGTGAATTACTGTGATTTATAGCGTGTATTATAAAAGTTGTTAAGTTTAATGTGACGAGAAACCTACTGACAGTGGAATTACTATGTACTAAAAGCGTGTATCGACAAATAATAAACTGGTTTAATCAAGAAAGAACCTGAAGTTCCTCGGAAAAAAATTCTACTGGAAATTAACAAACAAGCAGATATGTAACAAATTGATGTCAGAAAGCGGGACGGAAAAGAGAAAAAAAAACAACAAGGAAAAGAGAAGTGGCAAATCAAACTACGAATTAGCAGATTTGATGGCAGCAATACAACTACAGCAAAAGAAAGAAGGAGAACGGGAAAATAAACAAGAAGAGAGATTACAGCAGTTGTTGGAGGAAAAAGAAAAGAAACAAGAAGAGAGATTACAGCAGTTGTTGG